GGGGGGTGTGTGTCCTGCCTGCGGCTCAAGGCGCCCGCCTGAGGGGGGGGGTGTCCATCCCATCGGCGCCGGCTGCTGTGATGATTCTCCTTACACGTGTTAGACTTCTGACGCAGATGAAGTAAAGCCTAGTCTGAGCCCCCGGCGCCGGGTCCCTCTAGCTCGGGCGGGATATGGCGTCCTGCCCCCCCGGGGCTGCGGGTTGAGCCCGGCCCGGCCCCCAGACGCTCTGTGGCTGCCGGGGCCGTGCACTCGACTGGGATCCTAACAGGGCTCCTGTTCCCCGCAGGTATGACAGGAGCTGGCCTGGGACCTGCCGCAATCCCTGGAGAGCGCCTACCCGGTGCTGCTGACCCACCGCCCGCTGCTTTTCTTTTTTTAAAGGGTGGGGTGGATGGTTAATAAAACAGCAGAAACAAATCGTGAGACTTTTGTTTCGTTATTGTGCTCTCCAGCACTGTCTTTGAACTGGTGAAGTGTCCCGCTAATGGCTTCACTGGCTAAGCAACAGTGCAACAGGAAAAAGCTTGTTCATAACTGGTGCTGCTTAGTTAAAATCTGAGTGGCTCTTTTAAGATCAAGTAACAAGGTGATTACTGCACCTATTAAAGCTTAGGTGAAGACCATAATTAAATTCGAGCCCTCCCCTTTCTGAATGAAATTTCCTTTGCCTAGAGGCCCTGGACTTGTGGATGGAGGACCTCTGAACGAAGCTTTTGCACAGTGGAATAAGATTCAGTAGATGCTACATGGGAAGTGGATAGGGAAAGAAGTTTTCATCTCCCATCCATAAATGTGGTTGTAACCCAATCCTCGAGTAGCTTTAAGATCGATATAGGATTTTTCCCATGTCTGGTTTCACTATTATTTTCCTGCAATGATGATCAAGCAGAGGAAAGAAAGTTGTGCAAACAGCATTTGAACCACACCACCTTGAGTAGGGCCTAGTGATTATAACTAAGGTTTTTTCTTCACAGTTCTAAGGCATCTTTCAAAGGTACTTAAACATAGTGGACATCTTATCACTCATGATCAGTGAGTTTACCCTTCCACCTCTGGTAAGACATACTGACTTGTAAGAGGAAGACTTGGCAGCAGCTAGAAGTGAGCCTAGGACTAGACAAGGGGATAGCTTTCAGAGAGGAGCCATTTTTTGTCTTTGAATCAATAATTGAACATATTAAAGTTACTACTCACCAATACTTCTAATGTGACTTCTGCTGTTTGAATTTGACTATAAACAGGAGGGAGCTGTGTGTTGTGTGGTTGCAGCCTACATAATATATATATACACACGCCGCACCTGTATGTCAGCACAGCTGCACATGGGCCATGAGTTGTGAACCACTAGAACTGTCTACTTCCTCTACATTTGGAATACTCTTACATAAACATTCTACTGGAACTAAAAGAACCCATTTATCCATTACAGCAGCATAGAATTCAAATTTTTGATTTTTAAGCCTTTATTTTCAAAGCCAGAACAATATATCCTTTAAATCCCTTATCCTAAAGCATCAGTCTCTATAGCCTCATAGTGCAGCTTGAATTGAACTAAGAATGAACTTCTGGAGAAATTGTAAGAGTGGGGTACAACATGAAAGTGGCTTCCCAAACACATCTTTTGAAAACATGGGTGTCTTGCACAAACTCAAACTACTGGCCAAACAAAATTATGCAGAAATAACTTACAAGCTATGTAATGTGTCTGACATGGGATAACTTTATTTCAGAAAACAAAGCAAGCCAATTGTAGTTACCCACATAGTTTGACTAAGAAGTGCAATATGACAATTGTGTAACAAATCTGGATATCTTTTCACATTAGTGCATCTAGTCCTTTGACTTATAATTCAGTTATTGCACATAGAAATCATATAAAAGACCTGCGTACAAGACATGCAGACTTCATGAAAGGCAAATAATGCCTATGTAGTAATGAGCGCAATACCAGAACAGTATACACAGACTGGAATAGTCACAGGAGTTTAGGTAACAAATATAACCTGCTAATATTGCAATTAAAAGTAACCAAAAAATGTGTTCAAATATAGACTTAATTTTTAAATATATTAAATGCTAATTTTATTTATGATGTTTCAGGCAAGGTGCTGTTTAAAAAAATCTTCACTATGATAGCTTCATTTAGAGATGGTAAATCATCAAAAAGTTACACAAGGTAATTCTGATTTACAACAAATGGGACTGAACACAATATACAAAGTTCATAAAAATTTACTTTTCAAAAGAAAAAAAAAGCAAATTATGCTAGTCAAAGGGGAGCTACAAAACTCACCTTTGTAAACTAAAACATTCTGACACAAATACATGAACAGTTGGCAACACTGAGGAAAAAGTCACGTTAAATATCAGATATGTAGTGTTCAAATAGTTATTGATTTAATGCATACATTTAATCTTGAATCTCCACACAAGATAGAAATAAAAAGGCAGTTTTTTTCTCATAGTTTTGGCCATTTATTAGCAGAAACAGTCCTTACATCTGTCATAACCAGCTTGTGATCAGCCTGAACAACTTCAAATGCTTGAATTCCTATTTCACATACAAAACTGAGAAATAAACACATGGGTGTCAAAATCTGCCTTCAGTTACAGCTACAAATCCTCACCAACATCTGGTGATTTGAAGTCACTGTGGATGCATGGCTGTCACAGATCAGAATTTAGTCCCATGCTTTGCATGTAAACACTGGTGTCATGGGAAAACACAGCAACAGAAACTCCTATGAGAATCCCACTGTTTATTTCATTGTATAAGAGACTCCATACACAAGTAGGATAATTATTTCTGGTCAGTATGTGCAGTTTTAGACATTTTCATGTGTGCTCATATCTTTAAACATTCAGAATTAATCACAAACCATGGTGATTGTACCTCACTATGAGGCAGGCTTGCTATGGTTTGGTCTCATGGCTTTGCCTAATGCTTTCTTAATCACAATAACCCCACCAATTCCCACCTTCACTGATATTTGAGAGAGTGTGTTTTATGGCTACTTGCTTCCCAAAAAAGCATTAACTTTGTATGAAAAAAATAAGTTAATATGTATACTCCACATAAATGGATTCACAATATTACCTATACATCCAATTTACATTCTTTTCTCCTGAAAGCATTTCATATTTCAATGGCTTGACACAAGCTATTGACTGCAGAAGTGAAAGAACATAAAACAGTTCATTCTACACCTCCAACTGCCTGAGAGAAAAATAGTCTTCCAGTTGTATACATTTGTTCCTGCCAGAGGATTTGGCATGCAGGTCCTTTACTGCAAAAGAACCACCCTTCAATGCAGCAGCATGATGTATGAACACAAACTGACCACAATTTGTGTCATCAAGCTCCTTGATCTATTACAATTAGATTTTCTTTTTCTTCAAAACAGGTCATCTTAGCCTCAGTTAAAATCCTGACAGCAGCCATTACAAAATAAATCAACTTATAAATGGAATGAAACTTCGTATAAGTGCAGTAAACAGGAACAATAACCAGGCATGTTGAGCGCAAAGAAATGGGTATAGGCAGTCCTCTTTAAAAAGGTGTGGCACAAGTTAAGGACAAAACTACCGCACAGTTTAAAAAACCATGAAAATAAATTTCTTAATACTGTACACTGCAAATCTTCACATTTCATGGTTGATCAGCAGCCTCTGTGACTGGATCTTTTGAAGGGCACGTAGATGAGCGGGGATCCATGGCAGAGTGCATTAGAGGAATATAAACATCATCCATGTTTGGCATGACAAAAATTTTCTGCGAAATGAAGGCAAAATTAAATGCAACTTAGTTTAATACGTCATTCAACATTTTTGGGTTTCTGATTCATATAATTCAAAAGTAAGTAGCATACTTAAAATCAATTTCGGTTTCCCTGGGTTGGCTGGAATCTGATGCAATTTGTATATGCAAACTCTGCAGTGCCTACTAGCCACAACAGTTTGAGTAATATGTGACACTGCACCTCATATTCTTCATAGTGATTATTATGGTATGATTATAGCATAATTATGGTGTATTTTATGCAAGACGAGTCATGTGAGGGGTCATTGGAAAAGTTATGATTTGTCAAATATGATTATCCTATTTGTATGCATGTATCATTTTTGTATCTAAAGTTAGGAATACTGACTATGTATCTGTATTTCAATTGTGCTTACTCTGGATGACACCCATAACTAGCCTTTCCAGTACAACAATGAAAAGCCAGACAATGCTGATGCCCCTCAGCGCTGATGACCAGGCCACATGATTCTGGACTCCATCTTGGGATGTCAGTATTTTTCCACAAACCAGTCTGAGAATCAAGTTTTGAAACAAAGGGTTCCTTCCATATGCTATAAGGCAGGGAGTGGTGATATCTGTTGTTCTTCACTCCCCATGCTGAAAGATTCCTGGAAACACCTGAGCTGGGGGAAGTGCTGGACCCAGGCTAAAGGGATTTCTAGCCTGTGTATGAAGACCTGAGAAACCCAAGCTGTAAAGCTAATGCAGCTTGTGCCTTAAGAATCTACAAATCTGCCTGTACCATCAGTTAGACAGGATGAGACTCTGCTGTTCATATCCAATCTAGTATATAAAGCTTAGGTTACGTTTTTGTTTATTTGCTAGGTAATCTGCTTTGATCTGTTTGCTCACGCTTATAAATCACTAAAATCTGTCTTTTGTAGTTAATACATTTATTTTATGTTTTAATCTAAACCAGTGAGTTTGGAGTGAAATGCATGGGAATCTTAGCTCAGAGAGGCTGTTGCATATTCCTCTCCACGTTGGGGGTGGAGTGAGGGGAGCGAACTCGATGAGCTTACGCTGTGCACCGCAAGACGGTATAATTTTTGGGTTTATGCTCCAGAGGGGGGGGCGTGCCTGGGGAGCTGAGAGTTACCTTTTGCCTTTCTATTGTTGGTTCGTGCAGTGGCTAGTCAGAGAGTTTGCATGCAACTGCCGCTGGGTGTGTCCCCCCACCTATATTTATGCTGATGGAATCGTAAGACTGGGAGTGGGTCTGCAGCTTGTCACAGCCGCACAGTGTGAGGGAGAGCCCAGGCTGGTGGGTCAGAGGGCTCAGCCGTACCCCAGTTCCAGGTGGCACCCAGGGGGAACCCGTCACAGTATAAACCACATAATTGAAGATGAAACATTAGGAAGTGCTGAGATCCCTGCACATTTCACTCAACTCAATAAAGAGCCACAGGGAAGTGCCTGTTTCCCCCCTGCAACTCCCAGCATATGTCTCATTGCAGTTCCCTTCAAGCAGAATTCAAGGTGGCAGTTTTGATCTAGCCAGTCTGCTTGATAGGTTTGTCTCAGGTTTGACTCTCCCACTCTTTTGACCATCCTGGAAATTTATATAAGTTGGGGTGATCAGTTTGCCAGATTTTCAGCAGTGCTCAGCACTAGCAGCTCTTGCAGAACTGGAGAACTGCTGGATGCTGACCACTTCTGCAAATTGAAACTCTACACTTCTCTTATGTCTGCACTAGGAATTAAGGGAACAATTTTGAACTGTAACCTCCATTAGTTAAATGAAAAATGTCTTTAAAGTTATTAAAGAAACATACCTGAAACTCTT